AAGATACTTTATCGCTTCAAAGTTTTTACTTTTACAAAAATGTTCAAAACTTTTTAACCGCCTTCAGTGCACCCACATTCTTTTTTTGCCAACCTTTTGCCAACAAGATAAGTGCAAGTTTCTAGTGATGGCGCTTCTTGTATTGGCCCTCCCACTCGAGCATCTGTCCGGCGCACGGCATTCCATGGAGGCACGGATAGGACCCCCCGGGGCCGCGGCGCAATCGGTTAGCGCCGATCCCAAATCTCAAACAGAGGGTCCGGGTTCGACCCCCGGGACCAACGTGCAACCGCCATTTCTCCCCAAAACCTTTGTCAAGCTTTTGCGTTTTGCTTAAAAACTGTGCTCAAGCCATTGAAAACTGCTAAAACAATAAGGATCGGGAAAAATTAACCCGATCAAAAAAGAGACGGTTGTTCCACTGGCGTACATTTTCGCAAAACAGTCACTTGGAGCCATTTTAAGCGTCGATTTCACGCACTGTGGGGTAATCGACCTTGATTTTACCAAATCTAGGCTCAGATTTCAGCGACAATGCTTGGTTTCTGCGCTATTTAAAACCGCACAAAATCCTGAACTGAACTTCAAAAGACCATCACAAAAAAGTACCAGAATAACGGGCGGGTTTCTAGCCCTCGGACGTAACGAGTCACGAACGCGTCACACCACTTTACACCGCGTAATTGATTTCACAAACCCAGTTATTTGCGACAAATAATCTTGTAAAGGCTATTCTAACGCTAGAAACAAAAGAAATATAGTTGTAAAACAGATTTGGACGTGAAAGGGGCATACCTCTGCCTGTTTCGAGAAGATTGACAGTTTCGCTGGTTCTTTGCACAGCAGTACGAATAAGAAAGCCTGTTCTAACACGAAGAAGCTTCTTCTATAGGCACCAACACGTCGTTCTCCATTTTCGCGAGCAATTATCGGTTGCAAACATTGTACACACAATGTTCGCAATTCAAGGATCTTTTCTGAATTACCCAAATCACACATTATAACTGAGAGCCGTAGGCTAAGATGGCCCGAACTTGAAGGAGCAATGGTAGCGGTAAAAAGCAAAACCAAACAAGCGCTTTACAATGCCCATATCACCACCAGCGTTTCACGCATGCTCGAACGCTACATCATTAGGTTTCATCCTCAATGTTTAAATTATCTCGACGAAGCTCGGCTGGTTTTGTAGAGGTTCAATCAACAAAGTGCCTGGCCTTGCGTAACACTTATTTATAACGGCAGTGATAAAGTGAACTCGTGATTGAAGTAATATTGTTATAGGGATTACTTACATTACTAGTTAGTCGTGTGTGATGAACCAGCAAAACTGTCAATCTTCTCGAAACAGGTAGAGTTATGCCCCTTTCACGTCCAAATCTGTTTTACAACTATATTTCTTTTGTTTCTAGCGTTAGAATAGCCTTTACAAGATTATTTGTCGCAAATAACTGGGTTTGTGAAATCAATTACGCGGTGTAAAGTGGTGTGACGCGTTCGTGACTCGTTACGTCCGAGGGCTAGAAACCCGCCCGTACCAGAATAGATTTTCGATAGTTAGGTCTCAAAATCTGCGCCTTGGCGTCTAGAATATTTAAATCTAATTGAGTTTCTAATTTTTCTATTACATTTCGAGAAAAATCCAGTTTTGTCCAAAAGTTTGTTCATTTTCGAACAAAAACGTAGCGAGCGCGCTGTCCCCTTGTGCAAGGGAGCCTGCCGTAGCCCAAAAGCTATCCGTGCCTGCCTGTTAAAGCCTGGAATGGCGTGGGCGCGTTGGGCTGGCAATTCGCCGAGGGGTTCTATTCCCGTTTCCACGTTTAGTTCAGGGTTCCTAGTTTGCATTCGCCGCTCTTTCTGGTCGCTCGATAAAACCTTCGATTTATTATCATGAAACACAGCACTGCACAGCGATTTGACCAAAACACGGTAATGAGGGAAAATAACGAAAATTAATTAGCGGGCAGTCGGGCAAATTTAATTCTCCAGTCGAGTCGAATGTGCGGCTCTCGTCGACGGGGATGGTGCTCACTTCTGAAAGTGATGCAGTGCGTACGTTCAGAGAGAGGCAGAGACGAAAGAGAGCGAGAGCGAGAGAGAGCGAGAGAGAGAGAGAGAGCGCGGGAGAGAGAGAAAGAGAGATAAGTTGCCGTACCGGTCCTCCATTTTTGAGTCCGTCGTACTCATTCAGCACCATCATTTCCTTGGCGCACCAGCACATTTTCGGGTCGCGAAGCATCGTGCAGAACTACACAACGTTTGCATTTATCATATTCAGGGAATTTCCTACATCTTGCATGGCGCTCTTGTTGGCAACAAACTGCGTCCCTGCATTGATCGGCATGTTCATCTCCTCGAGGTACTTCAGCCAGTCGAACTACAATCGTCCAGTGACACCACTTGATTCGGATCTTACCTCTTCGTTCCAATCAGTGAAGTCACGCCGGTCGAGCAGGCTAAACGTTTGCGGCCCGCCAAAGATCTTCGTCAGCCTGCCCTTGAACTCGTTGTAGAAGTTGATCATTTCGTCTGCATGGTATTGCTCGTCTCCAGCAGCGGCGATTGGAATGATTTCCTAAAAAACTTTGGTGCTTTTGCATTACTGGAGGAACCATTTTTTTCCGCACTAGTTAGGGTTTCATTTTTCTAAGTATTTTGAATATACCGAAGCGTAAAAACTACGAATATTTGCGTGCAACGAATACACAGGTTCTTTCGCCTTGTCAGGGGATCGAATTGTTTTGTAAAGTCTAGAAATCTCTGGTGAGTTAATAGTAATTTTTCTAATAGTATCTTTAGTAAAAAACTAAAAACTATCCTTCACTTAGAAAAACTGTCGAAAAGCTTTCAAAAAAATTTCAAATAGTAAAAATTTGCTCAAGAAATTAAATGCCAAAAATCTCGATTTTTGACATGTAATGAAATTTTGTAAAGTTTGCACTTTTAGGAAGTGTAACAAACCATTTAGAAACGCTTAAACTACTTATATTTGAAAAAGTAGCTCCTAAGAAATCAAATTCTTCCCCCCCCCCCCGATAATGCGAAAGAACGAATACAAAAAAATATAAATTTTTGTTTTTAAATTTTTGCATTAGAATTATAGTTCAAATTTTGTTAAAACATATTTAAGATGCTTGCTAATACGCTAATAGGCATCTCTAACCCGCAATGGGACAGAACACCTATTTTCGTGTTAATATCAACTGACATTCTTGTAGAGGGCGGGCAAGTGGTCGTAGGCGATCGTCAGCCACCGTGTGTTTGGCTGGATGAAGATCTAAAGGATGGAATCAGCTGCATTTCTACAGAAACCCCACCGCCTCGAGGGGATGCTCGCTTCCCATCGGCGGCTGGTCGGCCCAGCGGCCCTGGCTCCTGAACTTGATGGCGAACTAGACACCCAGGCACGCGGGTCCGAGCTGTACGGTAAGGTCCACTAGAGTGGGTCGGCGCCCGCCGCGCTGGAACGGCATCCCGCCCAGCAGCTCGAACCAGGCCATGGCCATGCTGCAAGAACGGATATTTTGAAAGCAATGGTAATGCAGTGCATGGGTGTTATTAGCTAGGGGTTCCCATAGGATTAAAGGGCTTTTTAATAATTATTTTAATTGTGATTTAGTAAATGTAACTATATGTACAGCGGTAAAATCTTTTTTAAAAACTTGGAAAAGATTTTTTGTAGGCATTGAATCGAAATCGGACCTGGGGGGGGCTGACAGAAGGTCGCACGACATTTCGGCGCCACGCGAAAGTAGTTGGATGGAGCGGAGAGGCCAGACACTGCTCAGTCTGGCCTCTCCGCTCTTTCGCGTGGCGCCGAAATGCCGTTCTGTCTTTCTGACCTGGTCCCCGGGCCTGGCTGGTCGAAAAAGCGATATTTTTTCTTTTTTAATAAAATATGGATACATATGAGCCCATATGAAAAATGTTTATTCCCCTCGAAATTGCTAAAGACGTTGAGAAGAACCTCTACTATGCAAAATAACCGAGAGCTAAAATTTTCTAGGAAAATAGACGGAAAGGCGCCGATTCGCGTCTTACCGGTCCATCATAGGGTTGATCGGCTTCTTCGAGACGCGAAGCTGCCCGACATCGCGCGCACGAAGGAGACGGCAGGCGGCGCACGGTCCTAGGATCAATAGAGTTCGGAGTGTAGGTTTACGAATTTGTGTGTTTTACAGTTTTCAGTAGGATGCTTTACGCAAATACGAAGATCTAAGAAACGCAGTCCGCGATAGAGCAGCGTTTGTTTTCAAAAGCTGTTTAACTGTAAAGTGTTTTTACTCAAGTTGGAGTTTCGATTCGGGACCAACAGCATCTTGTGCAGAATTTTTCGCTGATTCCGAATCCGCTTTCGAAATTTGCTGCGGACTTTTATTTTGAAAGTTATACAGCAGTTATGGTAGTGTTTTTCACCAAAATCAAGGAACCGTTATCGTTTTCGATTTTCCTGATCAATTTCAACTTCAAAATTGGCTAGAGATTGGCTAGACAAGCATCTTAAAAGCCAAAACAAGCTTTTTTATAAAAAATTAAATTTTTTTTAGGCAAAAAGCAAAAGAAAGATGCAGGGCGGGGATCCGAACCGCCGCCCTGCGCTTGGCAAGCGAGTACTTTGCCAAGGCACCATGGTGCCAATCGGGAGGGGAGCTGTGACAGAGTACTTCAGGGCCCCTGGAGAAGGCAGAACCATGGAGGGAATAGTGGACCAGGATCCGAATTTTTGGCTTTTTCAAGCTTAGTTTGCACCAAAAATGACTTTTTAGATAAAAGTCCGCAGCAAATTTGGAAAACGGATTCGGTATCAGCAAAAAATTCTGCACAAGACGCACTTGGTCCCGAATCGAAACTTCAACTTGAGTAAAAACACTTTACAGTAAGCGGCCGTATCCCCCCCGCCCCCACTCCCACCAAATCCCCTTCCAATGGCCGTTCGCCAACATACCATCTACGCAGATAGCATCACTCGGATCGCGTCCCTTTTCGATCAGCTCGTCACTGAAAACCCGAAAAATCTGAGAAACTTTCAGGTTCCGAACCGTTCCTTACGGAAGCGCATGCAGGTGCTGGTGTTCGCGCAGGTCCGCTGGTGGTACTTGCTGGGTTCGCTGAAATCAAACAGAACATAAAAATTCCCTTTTTCGATATTTTCGTTAATTTCTTGGTCTTTTGCAAAGCCATCCAATAGCGCATCAAACAATGGTTGTGTTGGCTGAACTACCGAAAAGCAAAAAGTGAGATCGCCACGGATCCGAACCCCGATCATCAGCGCGGTCGACCAAAGGGGAAAAACCAATACACCAAAGGGGAAAAACCTTTTTCGGTTATAGGATAGGAAAGTGAAATAGACCTACTTGAGCAGATTACGACAGGAGCAACACTCCCATTTGGTTCCGTGGGTGCGGGCTTGCAGGTCGAAGGAGCCGCAGATCGCGCACTAAAAATGCGGCTGAATAAAACAACACGAAAACAACAACGCTAGACAACACGAGCACCCCCATGACTCCCAATCTTTTCCCATTATTATCGCCGTCAGTTTTTGAAGATAGAGAAACCCCACCGGCAGGGGAAGATGAAAATTCTTCTTGCCCACGCGAGCCCGGGCGTCCGTCGCGTTCTTGCGCATCGTATTGGTCTGTAATTACGGAAGGTGCTTTCCGAAGGCGCAAAATCGATCGAAGGCCCAAAAGTTTATAAGGTTTATAAAGTTTATAGTTATAAAGTTATGTTATAGGTTATAAAGTACGCGTATGATTTATCCCCGGGAACTTTTTCAGCCTGCGGCTCTGCTTATAGCGGATGGATGATATTTTTTTCCAAAATTTGTCTGTTTTCACTTTATTTGCGACAATTTTTCGAATATTACGCTTCAAAAGGTGTAATTTCGTAGCGATTTTTCCAAAAGTAGAGTTTTAGGTGCTGTGCTTTAGCCTTATTCTGGACGCTGCGGCGCGATGCATCGATGATTCGCCTAACCCTATGGTTTTTTGGGAAAAGTGCCGACGGGGGTCGACGCCCAAAAACTTCTCTTTCATTCTCTCATTACTGGATCTTTCTCTCGCTATCTCTCGGTCTCTCTCTCGCTCTCTCTGTCTATCTCTCTCTGTTTGTCTCTGTCTGTCCTTCTCTGTCTCACTCTCTCTCCCTCTCTCTGTGTGTCTCTCTTTGTCTCTCTCTCTCTGTCTCGCTCTCTCTCGCTATCTCTCCTCAATATCCACTTCCGGCTCTTCTTCCGTACCTTATCCTCAGCTCCTCTTTTCAGCTCGCCCTCGTCGTTCCGGGTGCCGCACGACGCCGCCAAGGCGGTCGGACCCTTGGCACTTTCGATGAGCTAAAAACTCCTCAGTATCCGAAGACAAAGAATGAAATCATACGCTTTCTCTCACTCTCTCCCTCTCTCTCTCTCTCTCTAGCGCTTGTAGTTGTTCTTCCATATCGGGCGTCTTCTTCACAATGTGCTCGTGAAGGCGGTGCGGCCTGGAAATCAAGCAGGATCCTTGACTATATGTCTATAGTCTATTTCGAGATCGCACGGATGCAATGCGGCCACTTGTCTAATTGTAAGGGGGGGCCTGTTTTGGGACACCCCGTATAATCGTAGCTTTCCTTGTATATATAACAAGTTGAATTATATAAAAATTTAATCTTGGCCAGTTTTGAAAATCCGACGTTGCTTACTGACCCCCTTACAAAAAGACAAAGAATTTTTCAAAAACCTACGTGTAACAGCCCGGGACGTAGAGCGCTCCACTCACGTGGACGACCTCGCCGTAAACCGGATCGCAGACTTGGGCGACCGAGGTCGGCCCACGGCCGCTCCACCCAAGGTACGCCGCCACCGTACGCCGCAGATCGCCGATGTTCACCTAAAACAGCTTGGTTCCTCGGTCGAATCACTGACCGTGGCGCCCGGGTCGGGCAACAATACGGCACAGAACCGGCGAAACTGAGCGGTCAAGTTGGGCCGAGCGAAATTGCCTGAAATGGAAAATGTTGGTAGCCGTCGAAAATGTGTAGCAGGCGCGCCAAAAACCATAGGTAAGAATTTTCGAAAAGCTTTATAGGCTCAAGTCTAGGACCCCCCCCCCCCCAGACGACTTTTCAACTTTTCTACCCTCCTTATTTTTATTTTTCGCTACTTTTTTCGAGGGAACTGCAATGTAGTCTTACTAATTAGCCTACGGCGAACATTTTGGTATACTTTAGAGCTCGTTAGCACAAAGGGGGGCCGAGATACAAAAGTTGGTGCCGGCTGGGGGGGGGGGGTTTCTAGACTCTTACCGCTTTATAAAATTGTTATATCGAAAAAGTATTTAAACTGCTATAAAAATGATTTGTATTTCATTTTTAGAGCCGTACGGAATTAGCCTTTTAAATATCGATGGTATGAGATCAAAATTTTAGAAAACGAAACCCGATTGTTTTCTCGCCTCTTCGAGATCTTTCGATACATACCTAAATCGTAAAAATCGAACGCGTATGCGGACCGCTAGAGGGGGGTCGTTGGTTTCAGACACCCTGTATGTTTGATGCGCTATCGAATTGCGTAGTCAAAATCCCCGCAAAATCGCGAAAATCTCGAACATTTTCCGGAACTTCCGGGCGACGGGTAAGGTAAATTCTACCCAGGGTCAACTTTCAGACAACAAATGCCATCAAAATCCCCGTAGAACGTTTCGCGATTCATTTTTAGTGGTAGTTTTGTCGTTTATAGCCGAAACTTGATTTCTTGCGCTGAATTGCTGCCTAAAACTGTAAAATTCGAATGTAGCGTGAAAAAAACTACGCCGGGAACTTTTACGGCACGGTGGGGTTTTTTTGGGACACCCTGTAATTAAGCAACCACTAAGGAGTCGTGTACCTGGAATGGAAGAGCTAGGAGGAAGGGGAAAAACAGTACAAAAGAACGGTACTGTATAACAGTACCTTTTGGCCGCTGTTTGGCTTCTTGGTGTTCATCCGATCGCGCTTGATCTTGCTCCTTTTGAACGTGGAGCCATTTGATAAGAATGGCGGATTTCTTATCCGGAAGTAAAACCTTTTTTCGACGAAAATTGAAATTATGTGCATTTAAATTGTTATCAAAAATGCGATGAAATTCAAAGCGATCTATGACTGAGAGAGCCAGTGAGAATGCGAGAGAGAGAGAGAGAGAGAGAGAGAGAGAGAGAGAGAGAGAGAGCGAGAGCGAGATATCTCGGTTCCTTGAGTGTTAGGTTCGTAATTCCATTTGCTTTTAGGTCAGGTTTCAATTATTTCCAACATTTTCAGTGGTTCACTGAAATAAACTGATGGTCGGGATCCTGACAACGATCTATTTTACCTTTCATAGCTTTTGGAACGAGTGGATGTGTGCGCACATCATGTGGGTGTCATTTGTATTGGTACGTCTTCAAATTCGATAGAGATTTTAGGGGGATAATCATACATTGTGTTTTTGTTTTCCACTCTTTCTTGTGTCGTTTCTATGTCCTTCTACCTTTAGATGCAAGGCGAGACCCATGTCCACATTATTCTTCTCAATCAATGGGACAGGGGCAACATGTCGCCACTAATTTTCCCATGCCAATGCTAATTGGGGGCACCCGACGACCCGGTGAGGGTGGAGAGAGAGAGAGAGAGAGAGAGAGAGAGAGAGAGAAAATGGTGCAGCTGTCTCCGGCAAAACCCCGTCCGTCCTATGAATGGATGGGGACAGAGAAAGACAGAAGGACAACCCCCCAATCCTGCACCCATCAACCCATCGACCACCAACGGCAATCCCTTCTCACATTTTGCCCTTTCCATCCACCCATCAATGCTCTTCCCTTATGGCCTCATCCACATTCTGGCCACATGCATTCTGCCATAGTCCCATTTTCCGTAATTTCCGCACACGCAATCGAAATCTGGCGTTTAAGGCACAGTGGCATGCAAAAAAAATGGAAAGTCGGCTTGAAATCGGTGCGCTTCGCGTATGTAAATTATTTTTTCGATTTGTTCAATGTTAGAGATTTTTCCGCTTTTTGAGCACGAAAACCACGAAACAACAAACCGTTCTTTTGCATTATCGAGGGGGTGTATTGTTCCAGAATGTATAACTTTTAGCAGTACCGTAATAGTGGTTATTGTTTTTAGTAAAATTTAGCTATATTTCAAGGCGAAAAAACATCTAAAAGGGTTTTAAATGCTGAGTTTTGGTCAAAATGGGCCATTTCTAGTCGAAAAATCAATATTTCAGTGTTTTTAATGAAAATTTGTAATTTTTTACGGTTGGGAATAGTAAAAAATCGTTTAGAAACGCGTCCTCTACTTAGATTACAAGGATTTGGCTCCTCTATACATTAGGCTTACAATTTTAGATTGGAAGCACTGACAATACCAGATTTTTTCATATCTTTTTTTGTAGCCTTTTCTAGTAGTTTTAAATTGTGTAATAATGCGTAATTTTTGCGTGAATTAACACAAGCCATTTGCCATTTAGTCCAAAACTTAATTTTCACGCTGTTTCCATTGTTGTTAGTTAGTATATGTGACCTAGTCCTATAGGAAGGAGTTGAACCTTCGATGCGGTTTGAAGGACATCCTTTGTGCCCGTTTCTGCATATCCATGCCCCCGTGGGGATTTGAATTGGGGCACGGATGGGGTACACGCGCGCGGGTTGGTTCGGGGGTTTTTGGTACCAATTTGTAGTATAGTAATTTCTGGCGGAATAAACGCGGCGTTAGCATGCCAAAAGCAACACTTATCGGCTTATGCTGTCCGATCGCCTTCAAAAATTGCGTACGAGGCAATGCCCTGTACACAAGCACACACTTTTCTCTGTGCTCGCTGCATTGTCCCAGATTTTCCTAGTTGCTTTTTCGTACTTTTTTGGTTTTAGGTTCCTGGAAAATGTGCTTTTTGTTTTGTTTTCGAACCGGTGGAATTTGGGCTTTGGGGGTGTTTTCCGCGAATCTTTTCGCACTATCGGGGCCCCCGAAATTCCTGTAAGGACTTCCTGAATTCCTGAAGCGAGATTTTTTTCCTGTAAGTTCAGAGATGCCTAATAACCTACGAGTAGGTGTTTTAGAAGTGTTTTAGTATAATTTAATTACATTGAAAGTGGGAAACCAGCTAAAAACGTCGCAAAATGGAAATCTTCGTCGAAAATCCGCCATTTTTGATAAAAAAAATCGATTTTTTGGGAGTTTTCAAATAAACTTGTAAGGTTTTTATGTTTAGTTGTTTAAAAAACGGGTTTAAAACATTTTTTTCCAGTTATTCACTACATATTTCTTCTATTTTATGAGAAAAATTGGATTCGGCGGAAGGCAGCTAGCCTCCCCCCGGTAATGCAAAAGCACCAAAATTATCGGGCAACCTTTGGCCCCGCAACGTCCATGTCCATTTGCAACCCGGTTGGCGATAGATTTTCCGGATGGAGTAGGGGGAGCGCCGGAAGGACTTGGAGGGCAATTTGTGCCCCCCCCCCTCGCCACCCCTCGACATCCACTTTATGTCCCGAAGGGAGAAAGCGCATTACTTTGATTAGTCGGTAGTAGTGGCCAATACTCGGCCGTAGAGGCCTTCATCTACCACACGGCAGTTATAAATCTCTAGAAGTCTCCATTCAAATGGTGGATGGATAGGAGACTGACCTTGAG